AGAGAGAGAGAGAGAGAGAGAGAGAGAGAGAGACCAACACACACACACAGACACACAGACTAACTCACCCTTCTCAGTTTGGACATTTCATCTTTAATCTCCGAGTACAACTTTTGCGCCTCTTTCAAATTCTTTGTCAACTGAAGCAAGCTGGGCCCGTCCTGCTGGCGTCCTCCTCTGCCAGACGAAGCAGACGACGCCCCCGGGCCCCCCTCCCCATCCTCCTCCATCGATGACCTCTGACCCTGACCACTTTTGTACTTCTCTATCTCCACATCCGCCTCTTTGAGCTGTGCGCTGAGGATGTCGTTCTCCGTTCTCAGAACGAGGTTTTCCTTCCTCAGCCCCTCCATCTGGTCCTCGTACTCCCGGTACAGCAGGTCCAGACGGGCCCTCCTCAAGTCGGGCGTGCTCTGGCATTTCTGGGACTCCTCCACCAGCTGACCTCCTGAACACAAACAGGTCAAAGGTCAAGGGTAACATTAGTAGAAATTGTGAAATTGGACAGGTTTTTACACCCCTTTCAACACTGTATGTTCATTTAAGAGGCGAGACCTCCAAAGTTAACGTCCATACCAAACAAGACCAAGCCATAAGAGAAAATTCGAGTAAGCTGCCTTTCCCAAGGACACAATGTTAGACCAAGCTGAGTCTGATAACCCCAAATCCACAATCTCATAATGGCAAGTACAGTAGCCTTACTACTAGACAACCAACGCCATTACATCAGTGTGGACTTGCAACTAAGAAACGACAACATATGCTACAGTTTAATTTGCTTGAGTACTGAGAAGCATAAGAACTCAGTCAACACAATGATGGTCATTTTGAGCAGAGAAAAAGACAGACAGAAACTGCTGTGAGAACTAAAAGCGGTAGGATCTACCAGTGGTGCTCTTTAATCACCTGCTCAACTGAGGTCACTGCCCCATACCCTATCTCTCTCTCCCTCTCCCTCTCTCTCTTTTCCCTCTCTTTCTCTCTCTTTCATTCTTTCTTGCTCTCTCTCTGTCTCTCTCTCTCTTTTTCCTTCTCTCTTTCTCTCCCTCTTACTTTTTCCCTCTCTTTCTCTCTCTTTCATTCTTTCTTGCTCTCTCTCTGTCTCTCTCTCTCTTTTTCCTTCTCTCTTTCTCTCCCTCTTACTTTTTCCCTCTCTCTCTCTCTCTCTCTCTCTCTCT